TAGAGTTAATCCAAAATCATAGGTGTATTAAAGTCCAGATTGACAAGTATACTCAACAAACCAGGCACTGAGCTGAAAAAGGGATTATTTCCCAGTGGGCCTTAAGGACCACATAAATCCCTGTGCAAAAATCAAGAAACAGAGACAGGAAGTGACTCGCCTAAGGCTTGTCACTTGAAACTGAGTGGCTGACTGACTGGCAGAGGACTGGAAATCAATTCCATATCTCCGGACCTCTAATTTCAGAGGGTGCACTGCCTCCCCAAGGCCCGATTCTACAATTAAATGACTTAACAAGGGCTTTACTGGATTGAAGTCAACATTAAGAAACATTAGATTCCATTGGCACAGTCTTTGGCCCCTTGTCTCTAATAAGAATTTGCCCAGTTAAAATTTTAACATTGGGTCTACCTGAGAGATCTTGATTTTCAGCCTGAAACTCTTGAAAAGGCTTGATTAACTTAGGAGTTCCTGCTACAAAGTAAAAGTCAAGAACCCTCTTCAGCAAAGGTGAGCTTGCCTCAGTGGTAAATGGGAAATGAGCTGGTTTCAATCACCACCGTCTCACCAATCATCAAGATAAATTTCTTATAACATACATGTATTGTGTTTTTAGGAGGGCTGGGGGTTATCCAAGGTTCTGAGTAACATGCTACCACAGGAAGAAGGAGTTGCTGCTTAGCCCTGGAGACAGACACACAGACAGACAGACACACACACACAGTCTAGACACACAACTGGTAGTGTCCAGCCAAATACATAGTAGTATGAGAAGGGCTTTGAACCCATCCATGCTCCAAAGGATGAGACACCTTTCCCTAATTCACACGTCCATTCTCCTTCCTTCTCCCCCAACTCTGCCTCCTCCTCAAGCCCACACGTTATTACATAGAACACAATTAGGCAGGGCTGTCAGTGATGCTCTCATTAAAAACAACAGCACAGTCAAACAGAGAGCATGCTTGCATATGAAATGTGATTAATTCTTTCAGACATGGCTCATGATGACTGGGGCCACACCATGAGGACAGCAGCTCTGCTCTGCACCAAGCCTAGCTGTGTGCCTGGCCACCTCCCAAAGTGCTTCACACTCTCATTTCACCCTCAGAGGCAGACAAGGTGAGGACTGCAAAGGACTCATCTGTCTCCCATGCTCTCTGAAAAGGACTCCCATTTCTCCTGGGGACCAAAAATAACAACAAAAGTAGCTTTTTATTTGTAGAGCACACAACTTTTCCAAAATACACAGCTAAAACTGTCCCCGCTTTAAAGGACAGTTTATTAAATGTATATAAATAATATAAATGTGTATTATTCTCAGTACCACATTGGATGTACCCTAAAATTCACCACATAATTGGAAGTAAAACACTCCTCAGCAAATGCAAAAGAATGGAAATCATAACAAACAGTCTTTCAGACCACAGTGCAATCAAACTAGAACTAACTCAGGGTTGAGAAACTCACTCAAAACTGCACAACTATATGGAAACTAAACAACCTGCTGCTGAATGACTACTGGATAAATAACAAAATTAAGGCAGAAATAAAGATGGTTTTTGAAACCTATGAGAACAAAGACACAATGTATCAGAATATGTGAGACACATTTAAAGCAGTGTGTAGACGTAATTTGTAGCACTAAATGCCCACAAGAGAAAGTGGGAAAGATCTAAAACCCATACCCTAATGTCACAATTTTAAAAACTAGAGAAGCAAGAGCAAACAAACTCAAAAGCTAGCAGAAGAAATAACTAAGATCAGAGCAGAACTGAAGGAGATAGAGACATAAAAACCCTTCAAAAAATCAATGAATCCAGGAGCTGGCTTTTTGAACTGATCAAGAAAACAGGCTGCTAGTCAGACTAATAAAGAAGAAAAGAGAGAAGATTCAAATAGATGCAATAAAAACAATAAAGGGGATATCACCACTGATTCCACAGAAATACAAACTACTATCAGAGAATACTGTAGACACCTCTACACAAATTAACCAGAAAAACTAGAAGTAATATATAAATTCCTGGAAACCTACACCATCCCAAGGATAAACCAGGAAGAAGTAGAATCCCTGAATAGAACAAGAACAAGTTCTAAAATTGAGACAGGAATTAATAGCCTACCAACCAAAAAAGTCCAGGACCAGATGGTTTCACAGCCAAATTCTACCAATGATACAAAGAGGAGCTGGAATCATTCCATCTGAAACTATTCCAAACAATAGAAGAAAAAGGAATCCTCCCTAACTCATTTCATGAGGCCAACATCATCCTGATACAAAACCTAGCAGAGACAGAACAAAAAAAGAAAATTTCAGGCCAATAACCCTGATGAACATTGATGCAGAAATCCTCAATAAAATACTGGCAAACAGAATCCAACAACACATCAAAAAGCTTATCCACCACAATCAAGTCAGCATCATCCCTGGAATGCAAGTCTGGTTCAACATATGCAAATCAATAAATGTAATCCATTACATAAACAGAACCAAAGATAAACATCAAATGATTATCCCAATAGATGCAGAGAAGGCCTTTGACAAAATTGAACACAACTTCATGCTAAAAACTCTCAATAAACTAGGTATTGATAGAACATATCTCAAAATAATAAGAGCTATTTATGACAAACCCACAGCCAATATCATACTTAATGGGCAAAAGCTGGAAGCATTCCCTTTGAATACTGGCAAAGGATAAGGATGCCCTCTCTCACCACTTCTATTCAACATAGTATTGGAAGTTCTAGTTAGAGCAATCAGGCATGATAAAGAAATAAAGGGTATTCAATTACAAAAAAGGGAATCAAATTATCTCTGATTTAGATGACACAATTGTATATTCTGAACCCCATCATCTCAGCCCCAAATCTCCTTAAGCTGATAAGCAACTTTAGCAAGTCTCAGGATACAAAATCAATGTGCAAAAATCACAAGCATTCCTATACACTAATAACAGAAAAACAAAGAGCCAAATCATGAGAAAACCAAACCACTCACAATTGCTACAAAGAGAAATAAATACCTAGAAATATAACTTACAAGGCACATGAAGGACTTCTTCAAGAAGAACTACAAACCACTGCTCAAGGAAATAAGAAAGGGATGCAAATAAATGGAAAAACATTATATACTCATGGTTAGAAAGAATCAATATTGTGAAAATGGCCATACTACCCAAAGTAATTTATAGATTCAATGCTATCCCCATCAAGCTACCATTGACTTTCTTCACACATTGGAAAAAACTACTTTAAATTTAATGAGGAACCAACAAAGAGCCCACATAGCCAAACAATCCTAAGCAAAAAGAACAAAGCTGTAGGCATCATGCTACCTGACTTCAAACTATACTACAAGGTGACAGTAATCAAAAAAGCATGGTACTGGTTCCAAAACAGATATATAGAACAATGGAACAGAACAGAGGCTTCAGAAATAACACCACACATCTACAACCATGTGATATTTGGCAAACCTGACAAAAACAAGCAATGGAGAAAGGATTCCCTATTTAATAAATGGTATTGACAAAACTGGCTAACCATATTCAGAAAATTGAAACTGGACTCCTTCCTTGCACCTTATACAAAAATTCACACAAGATGGATTAAAGACATATATATAAGACCTAAAACCATAAAAACCTTAGAAGCACAAGCATTCCTATACACCAATAACAGACAAACAGAAAAAAAAAAAAAACCTTAGAAGAAAACCTATACTATATGATTCATGACATAGGCATGGGCAAAGACCTCCTGACCAAAACACCAAAAGCAATGGCATCAAAAGCCAAAATAGACAAAATGGGATCTAAAGAGCTTCTGCACAGCAAAAGAAACTATCGTTAGAGTGAACCAGCAACCAACAGAAAGGGAAAATAATTTTGCAATCTACCTATCTGATAAAGTGCTAATAACCAGAATCTACAATGAACTTAAACAAATTTACAAGAAAAAAACAAACAACCCCATCAAAAAATGGTCAAAGGATATGGACACTTTTCAAAAGAAGACATTAATACATCCAACAAACATGGAAAAAAGCTGATCATCACTGGTCTTTAGAGAAAAGCAAATCAAAACCACAGTAAGATACCATCTCATGCCAGTTAGAATGGCAATCATTAAAAAGACAAGAAACAACAGACACTGGAGAAGATGTAGAGAAATAGGAATGCTTTTACACTGTTGGTAGGAGTGTAAATTAGTTCAACCATTGTGGAAGATAGTGTGGCAACTCCTCAAGGATCTAGAAATAGAAATTCCATTTTACCCAGCAATCCCATTACTGTGTATATACCCATAAAAGTATAAATCATTCTATTATAAAGACGTGTCTATTATAAAGACATGTATGTTCATTGCGATACTGTTTACAATAGCAAGGATGTGGAACGAACCCAAATGTCCATCAGTGATAGACTGAATATAGAAAATGTGGCACATAGATACCATTGAATACCATGCAGCCATAAAAAAAGATGAGTTCATGTCCTTTGCAGGGTCATGGATAAAGCTGGAAATCATCATTCTCAGCAAACTAACACAAGGCTAGACAACCAAACATCACAAGTTCTCACTCATAAGTGGGAGCTGAACACATGAGAACACATGGACACAGGGAGGAGAACATCACACACAAGGGCCTCTTGGGGGATGGGGGTTTAGGGGAGGGATAGTATTAGGAGAAATAGCTAATGTAGATGACGGGCTGATGGAGGCAGCAAACCACTATGGCACGTATATACCAATGTAACAAACCTGCACATTCTGCGCATGTCCCCCAGAACTTAAAGTTTAATTTAAAAAAAAAGAAAAGCTAACTTTACATTACTAGTTGAAACTGGAGTTGAAATATTATAGAGAGTAATTTATGAAGATTTTTGCCTATGCAATAATTTATAGGCATGGTTCTCCTTAAAGATCCACACTTAGTTACACTCCAGAGAACATAAACTAACCAGAAATAATAAACTTGTAGATTTTGTTCTTACCAGGGAGACTCTTTGATATTGGTCTGAATTCATCCTTTAGTATATATCTTCCAAATGCATCTGTCAATTGTTCTATATCAGGCCCTATAGAAATAAACAGATATCAAAACACTATAAGATAATCATTTATCTACAAATGTCAGAGTGTGTGTGCCTGTGCATATATGTGTGTGTGTGTTAGTAACTTAAAACATTTGTGGCTGGGCACGGTAGCTTATGCCTGTAATCCCAGTACTTTGGGAGGCTGGGGCAGGTAGATCACGAGGTGAAGAGATTGAGACCATTCTGGCCAACATGGTGAAACTCTGACTCTACTAAAAATAAAAAAAAAAAAATTAGCTGGGTGTGGTGGCACGTGCCTGTAGCCCCAGCTACTCAGGAGGCTGAGGCAGGAGAATCACTTGAACCCGGAGGCAGACAGTGAGCTGAGATCACACCACTAAACTACAGCCTGGTGATAGAGCAAGACTCTGTCCCCCAAAAAGAAAAATTGTATTTATAGAATAAAAATTAAAGTGAAATGTCTGGATTGGAAAATAACATAAACCTTAAAAAGGAAAGGCTGTTAAAAATTATATAAGCCATACTATGTTTAGGCTTAGATATGTTTAATGAATTAAATGATCATGGAGGACTCAAGATGGCGCTATGAGAACAACCCAGGATTGGAGCTCGCGTTGAATCCGCAAACGGTGAGTCAGAGCTGCATTTACAGACTGATCTTTGTTGCCCACAGAACGGGGAAACTCCCAAGTATAAAAAGACACGGGACGCCAGGCAGTAGGTCTGCCTGGCGAAGCCGGCAGCCGGGGCGGCGGCGGCCGTCCCTACCCAGCAATCCCCACAGGGCGTGCTTGTCCGGGTGCCCTGTTGAACCGGCAACCTGAGACTTGAGAGGGCTGGACTTGAGACTGAACGAGACGTGGACAGTAGCCCAGCCCAGGGAATTGCAGGGACAGATCGTTTGGGATACCCAGTGGGACAAACAAAACCGCGATTTCAAACTATCCCGAGCAGATGGTCTGAGACGCTCTGTGGGGGAGGGGCGTCCACCACTACCGAGGCAACCCGCCCCAACTGAGATACACGCCCACGGCTGACGCAGCCAGCTGTTGCCGAGGTAACCAACCCCAACTGAGATACACGCCCACTGCTGACGCAGCCAGCCGTTGCCGAGGCAACCCGCCCCAACTGAGATACACGCCCACTGCTGATGAAGCCAGCCGTTGCCAAGGCAACCTGTCCCTACTGAGATACACGCCCACTGCTGATGCAGCCTGCTGTTGCTGAGGCAACACGCTACAATGAAGACACTCCACTGCAGGGCGTGGTGGAGACCACAGCAGAGCCTGCAGGAACAGGGAGAATCACACAACAGCAGGGCGGAGCCTCAGAAGCCAAACAGTGGCTAGTCTGCCTTCTAGCTGGGCAGGACACCTCATCGAACATCCAAAAATAAAGCCCAAACCCCTCAACACAGAGCATTTGAGAAAAAAAAAGGGGGGTTTTTTAATGAGCTCTGTTGCAGCAGAATCAAACATAGCAGCCTAACAGCCCTGAATGAACAAAAGAGCGCACAGCTCAGCAATTAAGCCCCTATAAAGTACAAACTGTCTCCACAAGCAGCTCCCTGACCCCTCTATATCCAAAAGACTGACATTAGGCAGGCATCATCCTGGGACAAAGATAGCAGAAAAAGAAACTGGTAGCATCCCTCACTGTGCCACAGCTGCTAGAGGTGCACCCCAGACAAGCAGAGTCTGGAGCAGACCTCAGCAGTTGTACAGCGAAGGGGCTAGACTGGTAGAAGGAAAACCAAGCAACAGAAATACTTCATCATCAACATTCTCGGTGTCCACTCAGAGACCCAATCGAAAAGTCAGCAACTACGCAGACGACCAGCGGACAAATCCACAAAGATGGGAAGAAACCAGCACAAAAAGGAGGAAAACACCCCAAACCAGAACACCTCGCCTCCTAGAAAGGACTAAAACTCCTCACCAGCAAGGGAACAAAGCTGGACGGAGAATGACTGTGACGAAATGACGGAATTAGACTTCAGAAGATGGATAATGAGAAACTTTTGTGAGCTAAAAGATCATGTACTAAATCAATGCAAAGAAACTAAGAACCTTGAAAAAAGATATGAAAAAAGATTCGAGGAAATGATAACAAGAATGGATAACTTAGAGAGGAATATGAATGAATTAAAGGAGCTGAAAAACATAATACGAGAACTTCGTGAAGCAAACACAAGTTTCAATAGCCGAATTGACCAAGCAGAAGAAAGAATATCTGAAGTCGAAGACCAACTCAATGAAATAAAACGAGAAACCAAGATCAGAGAAAAAAGCGCATAAAGGAATAAACAAAGTCTCCAAGAAATGTGGGACTATGTGAAAAGACCTAACCTACGTTTGAAAGGTGTACCAGAAGGGGACGAAGAGAATGAATCCAAGCTGGAAAATACTCTTCAGGACATCATCCAGGAAAATTTCCCCCACCTAGATAGACAGGCCAACACTCAATTGCAGGAAATACAGAGAACACCACAGAGATATTCTGCAAGAAGAACAACCCCAAGGCACATTCACCAGCGTTGAAATAAAGGAGAGAATACTAAGGGCAGCCAGAGAGAAAGGTCGGGTCACCCACAAAGGGAAGCCCATCAGACTCACAGCAGATCTCTCGGCAGAAACACTACAAGCCAGAAGAGAGTGGGGGCCAATATTCAACATTCTTAAAGAAAAGAACTTTCAACCCAGAATTTCATATCCAGCCAAACTGAGCTTCAGAAGTGAAGGAAAAATAAAATCCTTTGCGAACAAGCAAGTACTCAGAGATTTTGTCACCACCAGGCCTGCTTTACAAGAGCTCCTAAAAGAGGCACTACACATAGAAAGGATCAACCAGTACCAGCCATTCCGAAATCACACTGAATGCTAAAGAGCTTCAACATAATGAAGAATCTACAACAACTAACAGGCAAAACAGCCACTTAGCATCAAAATGGCAGTATCAAATTCACACATAACAATATTAACCCTAAATGTAAATGGACTAAATGCACCAATCAAAAGACACAGACTGGCAAATTGGATAAAAATCCAAAACCCATCAGTGTGCTGTATCCAGGAAACCCATCTCACATGCAAGGATACACAAAGACTCAAAATAAAGGGATGGAGGAAGATTTACCAAGCTAATGGAAAGCAAAAAAAAGCAGGAGTTGCAATTCTCATCTCTGATAAAATAGACTTTAAAGCAACAAAGATCAAAAGAGACAAAGAAGGCCATTACATAATGGTAAAAGGATCGATACAACAAGAAGAGCTAACGATCCTAAACATATATGGACCCAATACAGGAACACCCAGATACATAAGGCAAGTTCTTAATGACTTACAAAAGGACTTAGACTCCCACACAATAATAGCGGGAGACTTTAACACTCCACTGTCAATGCTAGACAGATCAACCAGAGAGAAAATCAAAAAGGATATCCAGGGCTTGAACTCAGTCCTGGAGCAAGAAAACCTGATAGACATTTACAGAACTCTCCACCCCAAATCCACAGAATACACATTCTTCTCAGCACCACATGACACCTACTCTAAAATTGACCACATAATTGGAAGTAAAGCACTGCTAAACAAATGCAAAACAACTGAAATCATAACAAACAACCTCTCAGACCATAGTGCAATCAAGTTAGAACTCAGAATTCAGAAACCGACCCAGAACCGCACAGCTTCATGGAAACTGAACAACTGGCTCTTGAATGTTGACTGGGTAAACAACGAAATGAAGGCAGAAATAAAGAAGTTCTTCGAAACCAATGAGAATGAAGACACAACATGCCAGAACCTCTGGGACACATTTAAAGCAGTCTCTAGAGGAAAGTATATAGCAATAAGTGCCCATATGAGGAGAATGGAGAGATCCAAAATTGACACCCTATCATCAAAATTGAAAGAGCTAGAGGAGCAAGATCAAAAAAACTCAAAACCCAGCAGAAGACAAGAAATAACTAAGATCAGAGCTGAGCTGAAGGAGATTGAGACACGAAAAATCCTTCAAAAAATGAATAAATCCAAGAGCTGGTTTTTTAAAAAGATCAACAAAATAGACAGACCACTAGCCAGATTGATTAAAAAGAAAAGAGAGAACAACCAAATAGATGCAATAAAAAATGTTAAAGGGGAAATCACCACAGATTCCACAGAAATTCAAACCATCATCAGAGAATATTACAAACAACTGTATGCACATAAACTAGTAAACCTGGAAGAAATGGATAAATTCCTGGACTCCTGTGTCCTCCCAAGCCTAAAGCAGGAGGAAGCTGAAACTATGCATAGACCAATAACAAGGTCTGAAGTTGAGGCAGCAATTAAGAGCCTACCACACAAAAAAAGCCCAGGTCCAGATGGCTTCACAGCCGAATTCTACCAGACACACAAGGAGGAGCTGGTACCATTCCTTCTAAAACTATTTCAAACAATCCAAAAAGAGGGAATCCTTCCCAAATCATTTTATGAGACCAACATCATCCTGATACCAAAACCCGGCAGAGACCCAACAAGAAAAGAAAACTTCAGGCCAGTATCCATGATGAACATAGATTCAAAAATCTTTAATAAAATATTGGCAAGGCGATTGCAACAGCAATTCAAAAAACTTATTCATCATGATCAAGTAGGATTCATCCCGGGGATGCAAGGCTGGTTCAACATATGCAAGTCTATCAACGTAATTCACCACATAAACAGAACCAAAAACAAAAACCACATGATTATATCAATTGACGCAGAGAAGGCATTTGACAAAATTCAACAGCCCTTTATGCTAAAAACCCTCAATAAACTCGGTATCGATGGAACGTATCTCAAAGTAATAAAAGCTATTTATGACAAACCAACAGCCAATATCATACTGAATGGGCAAAAACTGGAAACATTCCCTTTGAAATCTGGCACTAGACAAGGATGCCCTCTCTCACCACTCCTATTCAATAGAGTACTGGAAGTTCTAGCCAGAGCAATCAGGCAAGAAAAAGAAATAAAGGGTAGTCAAATAGGAAA